AAAGTGGTACAATTAAAAACAGGAATTTAAGGTCCACGGACATTATCGTACTACCAAGTATCTATACTCAGACGAGAATAAGTTGTCTTCCTCAGAAAATCAACATCTCTAGTAATGTTACTTTCACACAACCGTAGGATAGGGCTTACTGAAGGTTGCTGCTAAAAATCACACTCCACACATTGGCCTTAAAAACAGATCCATCGAAAGCTACCCTCATAAAGATAGTGTTCGACTGACCTCAAGAAGTTGTCACCTGAAAACTATGGTCTCGTCCGCAGGTCATCTAGATCACCCTTTAACCCTATTTCCTTCCCATATCCTCAAAGAAGAAATTCAAGCAAGTTGGAAGTGACATTTGTTTTCATTATCTCTCATAGCATTCGAGATCACCCTCAAATTAATTACATTCTTTTTGATCGAGATCATGAACCGATTGATGTTAGACCATCATTGAAAACTTGTAAGCACTGGTCCGATGTTTCGTTCTATTGTGAGGCTCTACAGCGGTACGTATCCACGATCTCACTCGTGGGATTTGAACCCATGGCCTTCAGTCTCTCACTTGAACGCTTAACCTCTAGACCACTGAGCTGGCCGGCATCCAGTTGTGTTAATGTCTAACCTCAACCAATCCATGAAATCGCGCGACAATCTTCCATTGTACTGTCTCTATCCGACACGGATTAACTCCAGTAGTGGTGATCTCAGTCAAAAACTTAATAATCTCCAAAACCCTATACTGTTAATTACAATCTTTATCGATTACTAGCAGTGTAGTGAACAAGAACACCAGTGGGGACAATCGAATGTATTTGACACAAAATTACAGAAATTGTCAATAAAATCTAACAATCAAATAGTAAATACGTAATTTGCAAAATGTCCATCAATTGTCTGAAAATGACTCAGACTTCATTGTTCTTGTATTTTCATACAAATTGCATTCTGTTTCCATTCTTTATTGTTCATTTCTTTTGTCTCTCTGTTGCCAGACATTCTGTTCACGACTAACATCATATACTACTTATGTCAATATAAGTAGCACACACCATGGCAGTCTTAATCATATGAAAACAAGTTCTACTAAATGGTATTACTTGCTACTATTACTTAAACACATGAACATTGGTACAAAGAGGCACCAAACAGATATGCGCCATATAAATCATTCGATTTGTGTGAGGGCTAGGATACTGCCTGGGTGCCCAAACCAAAGCAGGTGGTTTTCTTAGGGGGCCACACCCGGAGCCTTCAACCTAAAGGTCCGATCCACAAGGCAGTAGAACAACGTCAGCAGATGCAGTCTGATGGTAGCCAGTGACCAACGATTGGTTTATAAACCAGTTGTTCCCTCAGGATCCTGGAGCCCATGTTCAGGATTGGTTTGGAATCCGGTTAAAGCGCCAGATATTCGCTATTCGTCCTCTCGTTTTCCTCAACAACACCCGTGGTGAGTGCAAGCAGTGAGCAGAACTTCCCTGGCAGAGGCTGTATACGCGTGGCTGTATGAGAGCATTTCGAGAGGGAGGGCTGGCCCACCTCACTCTCGGCCATACCCTGGCATTTGGGGGCGCTAAATGGCATTATTAGGTTGTTAATCATTTATTCTATTTCCTATTTCTATTATTATTAGGTATCAATGTTGTTAATTTTGATAATTATCCAACAAAAGAATATCAACGTATGTGGATAAGTAAATATTTAAAAGCTAAAAATTATTATGAAAAAAAATTCAATCAACAAACGGAAATTATTCATAATGGATATTCCACTACTCCTATAATGATCAATTCACATTCGAATCATATGGATCAATATCATAATAATAGTAATAATAATAATAATAATAATAATAATAATAATAATAATAATAATAATAATAATTGTGAAAATGAAAGTTTACTTGAGAAATGGTTGATTGAAGTGAATAATTTCGCTCTGGTAAGTATTATATAGATATAGATATGCATGCGGATTGGTAATAGAAATATACTTCACTTGGTATTGTTGTTTACTTGAAACTTTCCATTGATGTTTAAGACTGCAATTGGTCAGTCACTCTTATTGGCATTTTGTGCGGATTGCCTCGATATTACCTTAGGTCATGGGCATTATAAGCAAAGATGGATAGTGGCTAACAGTGGAATTCAGTTTGACGCCCGTTTCGTCCTATTTCGGACTTGTCAGCTGGATGTACCTGCATCTTATCCCATTGCACAAGCAAGTGGCTATCAGGACTCTGTAGCTAAGTGGATAACTTGATGGAATTCTGGGTTCGAGTCCCAGAGTGAATGTCAACTCTGAGATGTAGGTACATCCGGCTGACGAGTCCCAAATACGACGAAACGTGCGTCCTGGACTCTACTGCTAGCCACTATCCATCTTTGCATATAATAAATATAATTTATTAAAATCTAGTAATAGTCCCCCCCCCCCCCCCCCCCCCCCCCCCCCCCCCCCCGTTATCTTGCCAAAGAAATTGATTAGAGAGAGTATTCAGTAAGATCAAGAGCAACATATAGGATCTTAAGGTGTGTGTCCTCAATATAGTATTTTCTACGAATAATTGATATCCCTGGATAGACTACTTCTTTACATTGAAAAAAAAGATCAATGAGTGTCAGTTCCAAAGTAGTGCACCGGCAGTAAGGTCATAAAAACATGGAGCTCTTATATCGAAACTATTGACAAAAAGACTATTCAATCAACCTTAAGCAAATATCATTTAGGCTCTGGGATTATGCTTCAAGGTCGGCGTGACCATTATGAACTCAGTTTTCTCACTTATTTCAAGAAGTATTCATTACTGACTCCACTTTTGTGTTGATTGATGAATAACCTCGAGATGGATTTCTGAAAATCTTATTGGGAATTCATAGCCTAAGGAGTCCGTTAACTTGAAAGTGAGATCATGTAGACCTGTGAATTTCAACTCAATGGTTTGAAGATGAGTCATGCCGGATGTAAGACACATCGATCCTAAGTTAAATCCTTGATGGAATTGTAAGTGCTTACTGAATAGCCATTCCTAAACATTAACGAGACAGTTTCCCAGTTCTCTGGTTTCTACTATTTTTTCTACTTTATATCAGTTTTTTGAATTTTTTGTGATGACCTTGGTATGCTCAATGATCCGAACGTTAGATATGCAAGGGAATTTGTCTTGAAAACAGTCAACGTCCTTTACATAACAGGCTGCTTAACATAACCAGTCGTAACCCTAGAAGCGCTACAGGTGGAGTTCAAATGATTTTTTTTGTTTAGCGTATTCTGTGAACTGGACGATTTAATCGTGAAGCTTTCCAGTATTTTTCTTGTCAAGAACATTATCAGCACATATTGTTAGATGGTGGTTGAAGGTAGTCAACAGGAAACCCTTGACCCGGATTTCGTGCTACTTGGCACTCGTCAGCAAGGTGTACCTGTAATCTTAAGGGAACTAGTGCTCCCTGACGAATTCGATAGCATTCGATCTGCACTAAGAAAGACTTGACACACATAACATTGGTCACTACCCAGTGATCAATCAATTATGATCAGCACATACTATATTAAGAAGTAAGTTATTAACATTAAAATAAATAACGACCAACTTACCTATATACAACCAAATTCTAGGTTAACAGAACACAAGCAATCAGTTAATTCTGACGAAATCCAAATAACTTCCTTCTTAATAAACTGTGTGCTGATAATGTTCTTGACATTGAAAACTTCACGAATAAATCTTCCACATCAGAGAACTAAACACCTTCAAAATCTTCATCAGGAGCTACAAATATTCTTCATTATCATCTTAGTCATAACTTATCGTATGTTGTTAGTGAAAGATACTGTCGGAAATAATAGTGTAATGAATTAATCTTTATAGCTTGTCACTAATGAACTTCTAATTTCTTCTGTCTCATTTATTCAATCAAGATCCAAGTGCTCACAACGTCTGGATAGAGAGTGGTGTTTTATTTTCTAAGGTTTTTGTGTTATACAAACATTCCCTTTCTGTATTCAACTGTCTCTTTTGTTTGTTAATAATTGGTGAGTTTAAAGAAATGTCAGTAGTATAGAAAATGGATAAGGTTGGAGACTTCCTACAGATCTCTTGAACATTCAGGATGAAGATAGGAAAGTGTGTTATACTGTCATAGATGTGACGTATTTATATGGTGTGTAAATTTTTTTAGAATTAACTCACTCACCAAGTATATTGGGTATGAGTTACAGTGTAAGTGTGAAAGCTAATGATAGTAACCAATTTCTTGAACCGAGGTAAGTGACTACCCTTAACGTTTGATCCACCAGGGTGCCAGGTACCTGTGTGGTTGCGCCAAGGGATTGAGCTGTACTATTCAGACTGTAGCGTTAAAGCTTAGATGGTGTATAGTTCTGCTGTGAAGCGGGATTGAGCTGTATTGCTCGGGTTATAAAGTCTAGGCCTAGATGGTGTCTGGTTCTCCTGAAAACGGTATTGAGTCGTACCATTTGGGCTAAAAATTTTAAGCCTGTGTGGTGTCTGGCTGTACTGTTTAGGTTGTCAGGTGAAAGTCTGGATGGTGTCTGGTACTCTCGGAAACCAATGTCAAATTACCCTGGCCCACAAGGGTATATTATATAACTATGAACCCTAAACTTTGTCAAATAGCCTTTTTTATTAGATCAGTTGGGTTATTCATGGAATATATTTACTTATAAATATCACGGTATGTGTTAATATCTAATTGTTTCTTGATTATTTCGTCATTTACACAGTCGGCTCACTTGTTCTGGGGTGTTTGGGCAGTAATATTATCGGTTCAAGAACAGACGAAATTCGATTATTTATCGTAAGTAATAATTATTTTTCTATCAATTCTAACCAACTGATTATATTCTCTCCCTGGTTTTTTTTAGCGAGGTTCTTTTCTGTGGGATGGGGTTTCTAACCCTCCTCCTTTAATTAAGGCTTGAGATCAGCAGTAACCCTAGAAGGGCATTAGGTGGAGTGGTTGACTGGATTACTAAGATCTATACATCTCAGGGAAAGCATGGAATGCAGTAGAAAGTTTAGGCATAGTAAGATAATTTGGACTTTGCAGATGATCTGGTTTTTCTATCTCATACACAGCAACAAATCCAGATGAAGACATCCATTGTAGAAGTCGCCTCTGCAGCAGTAGACCTCAGCATTTACGAGAGAAGATAACGCAATGAGCACCAACCCAATCACACTTGATAGAGAAGCTCTGGAAGAGGCGGAAAGCTTTACGTACCTAAGCAGCATCATTGATAAGCAAAGATGATCTGATGCAGATGTGAAGGCACGGATTGGCAAAACAAGGGAAACCTTCCTACAATTGACGAGCATATGGAACTCAAAATATGTTAGCAAACATCAAAATCAGAATCGTCAAGACAGTCCTATTGTAGGGAGCTTAAAATTGGAGAACTACAACCAACATCAAAGAAGTACAGGTATTTATAAACAGTTGTCTACGCAATATACTCCAGATCCGTTGGCCGGATACCATCAGAAACAATCTACAATGGGAAAGGATAAACCAACTTCCAGGTGAACAGGAAATCCAGAAAGGATTCTGGAAATAAATAGGACACACATTATGGAAATCACCAAACTGCATCACGAAGCAAGCCCTAACATGGAATCATTAAGCATGGAGGAAAAGAGATAGAACAAAGAACACAATGTGTCAGGAATTGGATGCAGAAATAAAAAAATGAACAGTACCTGGCGAGAACTGGTAAGGGACAGCCTAGGACAAAGTTCGTTAGTGGTGGTGGCCTGTTTTCTATGAGTGGTAACAGGCGTAAGATGATTTTCTGTCAGCTTGAAAGTGCCCAATAATGTTTACATATGACTGCAGACATATAGATAGATAGACAAACATCATCAATAAAATTGTACATTGCAACCAGCTGTCGTACTAGAGATAAGCGCTAGTAAATGAAAATAACATAACAGATCGAACTAATATCATAGCGAAGTTAAAAAGAAAGATTAAACATTAGGAATTCAATTCGTTAAGACAGAATGAAAAGGTATGTATGAAGGGACATTGGAATTCAAGATCGAGAGAAAGATAAGAACTGAATGCATCTGATCCACTGTTCATGATTCTGAACGATGTCACCTAAAGTCTCTAAATACTGATCGCCGTTATCACTCTGTATCTACCACATGCCTCAGACCGATAATTAGTCATTTCATGGGCTGATGTCACTGGTTCTTGTGATAACAGTTCAATATAAAGTCGAAAGCGAATGTCATTTTGAAGTTAAGGAATACAACTATGATGTGATGTGTATACCTATCTATAACCCGATGAAGAGTGAATATCTAGTCAGAACATTCACGTACATGTCCTAAATCAGCCTTATTTTCCGGCGTTTTCTGTTCCCGAACATCATGTAAGCGTCGGATCTGCAAAAACCATTAGTGACTTGATGGACTTCTGCTACGTTCAGGTTGAGCCATCCCTACCTTCCAATTTACTAGCAAGAATTGTTTGTCAAGATAGTCGGTTGTTGAGCATACATAATAGATGTCCTAATCATCTCAGTTGATGAAAATTTACAAGATCATCAACTAGTTTATCATTTTTGTCACGTACGATATGGTTAACCTCTAGTCAATTAATCATAATCAACAAAGGATCTGACATATATGTGTGTTAGTTTAAGTTATCATACTAAATCAGCCTGATGAGATGGTATTAAAAAGGTGAATAGCCAAAGAATCGAAGCAATCATAGTACCATTTATAGTCAGAAAGATTAAGAATAGTGTTCAAAAAAGCAGAATAAAATGGTGTTGCTAAACGTGTACTGAAGTACAATAAATTTGGTATCTTTGCGTCAGTATTCTGAACTATTTTATCTAACAATCGATTGTGACTATTTAACAGATATGTTTTACGTATACTCAACCACTGTATACCTGGATATATGATGTTTATTGGTGTTGGAATAAGTAGAAAGTACGTATATGAAGTCGTTGAATGAATATTGATCTAAACCATTTCGGTAGAGTTAAACTATCTGATTGAAATCCTCACGATAACCACAACTAATAGTTGGAAATGGTGGGTGGTACCTAAGGCAATATCGAGGCAATCTGTACAGAATGCGCATATGCCAACAAGAGACACTGATCAATTGCAGTCCTAAGCATCAATGGGAAGATACAAATAAACAATACCAAGTGAATTTCATGAGTGATACTGTTCAGGTGGATTCACTCTTTATCTTCCTCTCGATCTTTGAATTCCAGTATTCCATCACATGTACCTTTTCATTCCATCTTCACATTAATCACATTCTTAATACTTTGTATTTCTTATTATCATTATCAATACATAGAATTTCATTATGGTATTTGTTATATCCTAGTGAAGATTACATTACGAGACTTAATAATGGACTAATATTATCTATACATTCTTGATTTTGACTTATAATTTATTATTGTACGCTTTACGGTTCTTAAGTTATGTTCAGTTTATTGACTACTGTCTCCCACGTTCACAGTCACTTTTTGGCTTTATTGTGTATGAATGTTATTTCCTATTTTATGGTACGTTGCAGTATGTTTGTTTGATATATAAACCCATTATGTACGAAATAAATGATTCGATTCGCATATTGGAACCTGGTATTTGGTGTTCTGAACTTCAAGTGGACGAGATAGGCGCGGACATAGAACCAAATAAAGACGCTAGACTGCCCATACCGATCGAACGTCATTGGTTTGGCACAGTGCCACGATTGTATAAGTCGTATTTTGATTGGTGGATAAATCACGTGATAAAAAAAAGCCGGACATCAAGTCATAACAGTATTGTATGTCGTAATAGTGCACTAACTGATATTTATGTCACATTGTTTATAGTTTACTAACGAACTAATCTGTAATTAATGACGATGATGATGATGAGGATGTCAATGAAAAACTGTCATTGTTTATAATGATTCGTTTTGTCTCCATCTCTCTCCTATTTATTTATTGATTTATTTATAGATATGGTATCTCTCGTATCAATCAGTATTACGCAATGAAAAATCATCTTCTTACAATGAATTCATAAACAAATTCTTTATGCAATAATTGAATCAAATAAAACTTGTCACCATGTCTATACATAAACATAATCAATACTATGACTACTACTACTACTACTATTACTACCACCACCACCATCATCATCACCGTAAATGTGATATTACTTCATCAATTCTATTCAATAAATAAAGTCTATATGTGTATATCAATTGGATCATATATGATGGAGTTTATTTTAAAGAGAATCAAACTGTGATTCATATTTCCAATGGTCAAGTCTAATTTCTAATCAGTTCATTCATCAATCGATTGCAATGTATTCCGTTCTCCTTTATTTGTTTGTTTGTTTATTTTCTTTTCATTGATCTCATTCCTGTTTTTTTTCTCTTCTTTTCTTCATAATGTTTTGACTAAAAAATTGGCCGATAGACAAAAATAGTATGTTGAATGTTGTAATCTATGAATTATAATGATGCCTTTTAAAGGGTTATTTATTTCAACACATGAATATTGATACAAGAGGGCACCAAATATATATATGCGCCACATCATATTTGTGTATGTGTGTGGGCTGTGATACTGCCCGGGTTCCCAAACCGAAGCAGGTGGTTTTCTTAGGGGGCCACACCCTGAGCCTTCAACCTAATGGTCTAATCCACAAGGCAGTGGACTAACGTAAGACTTCGTCATATACCCATCAAATAGGCTTAGTTAACAGTTTAATTTAGAAAAAAAAAGTTCAGTATTCAGAAACCAAGATATACTTACAAATGTTTAGACATGAAATTACAATCCTCTCTACTTGAACATATTAATTTTAATACGACCAACTTAATGCACCATAACAAACGAATACAAGGAGGCCCCTCTCCATTCATAGCTGTAAAAAACTAATCCCGACAGTTGCTGCCACCTTGACGTGGTGGTCGGGCTTGTCTATCGTGATGAACCAATCGAGCTATACTGGCTGGAACAATCGTTCTTCAAGGTCCTACCATGCCAGTTAGGCATGGTCGGTTGAAGAACGGTAAGACTAAAAGCAACAAACCCAAGGTCCGAAGGCGAAGTCGTACTGCTAACTGTACAGAGGTGAGACGGCAGTAAGGTGTTTCCTCCAGACAACCAGCATAATAGCGATGCTGTCTCCTCACAAGGAGGGTTGTGGTTAGGAAAGGTCTGCCCCAAAAATGCACACCTCTCCTTATCCCACGGATATCCCTCTCCGGCGGTTCGTGTGTGACCGACCTCAAGTAGTTGCCCCTTGGGCATTGTGGTCACGCTCCCAGGTCACTAAGACCACTCCTAACGAAATTTCCTTTTCAGGTGCCTCCAGAAGTACCTTTCCACGATATGGGCAACCGAGAAGCGATATCCGCCCTCATACTTCTAATAGCACCCAAGATTAATGACTAACTGTAAAAACTAATGAACACAGCAGATTTTACTGCCAAAGATTAGTACTGTTTTATTCGAATCTTGATAGATAGTTTCCATCAACGTTACAAAGCAAAAACATTTGGCTACTAATTAGTAACAGGGATAAAGACTGTTACACACTACTTATTACTATATATATAAATGAAAATAGAGAGCTTGGTAAGCAAATCCAATAAAATGGTGAACATTTGTCCTCGGATAATAAACCTTGTCATTTAAATAGCTACTCTATTAAAATCTTTCCGTAGTTATTTCTCGTTATGGTGAAATGAATGTCAGTAATTTTATAACTAACGATTACAAAATGAACTAGACAGTATCCTCTAATAATATTCACTGTTTTTAAACTTTTCAATCGTGACCGCTTCATTCTCATAGTATATTTGATTTAATACTTATTGCGATCGTTTATTCTCGTATCATTCTTATTTGTTATATTGTCAGATATGTGTAAATCTTGGACAAGACTGCATGTTGTGGAATTCATCTTTTTATTCAGGGAACCGAAATTATAAGAATATTGAAGGGTTTGGAGTGGATAGCACTAATTTTTAGGTTGTACCACTTACAAATTGACCTCAATTGTGATACTATTAAGAACTAGGAAGCGCTAGATAGCTGTTATACCCTGGTATGAGACTTCCTTTCGAAATACATGCACATAACCCCATCACAGGTTGGACCCAAGATGGATGCTTAACCGTCAGGACCACTCAATCCGTATCCAACGGTATCACGATTTTAGCTCTAATCAATTCATGCCATTAGGAATAGCTTTATCACATTAGACATGGACCTAATCCAAAGATTACAATTTTTCATTATAACTTTAGGAATTAGGTAGATTGTTCAATTGATGATGAATACAATCTCGAAAGAAAATGCAGCATATAAGTCTTGAAAGGAAAATTGAAAACTCTCTGGTTAATAGATTGTGTATTTATATAAATTAGATCTTATTGCTTTGTTACTATATCAAAACAAAAGGTTATATAAATGAAACAATGAAGCACTTATGTAATACATGTGATAAATGGACTAGTCAACAGGTAAAGTACAGACAGATATCACGCGGTATAACGAAACAAAAAAACCGACCTAATATATATATATATATATAGTACTTGTAACTATGTACAAAAGTGAAGTTGGACACAAGCACAAACACACACACACATGAACATATGTACAGGTAGTGTCATTTTATTGCTTTATTATCTAATCATCATTTGTATATTTCCGTTTTTTGTGTTTATGTTTTCGGTCATTGTCATCAACAACAACATAATCAGTTGAATAATGAACATGATTTATGACAGAATCGTTTTGTAAAAATGATTCTAATTCTTCATAATCTTCAGTGGATAATTGATCCTTTCTATTATTAGTATTATTCGGCTTGATGTTGTTACCAGCACTACTCTGAACTGGTTTCACCATAAATGATACACATGGTGAAATGGCAACTAAATTCTTTTTAGGTTTAATATTAAGATTATGTTGATTTCTATCATATACAACATGGTTATAAGTAGTGATATTGGCATCGTTGTTGTTATCATCGTCATCATCATCAATGTCAACACGATTAGACGACAGATCGATATGATCAAGTGTATTATTGCATCTATTTACAGAACTTAATCTCTCTTGGAATACCGGTCCGATTTTAATATCTTTCCCTTTATTAATACGGTCTAAAACATGATCAATAGCTTTATCAATCATTGAAGCGAATCTTGGGTTTTCAATTTGACTATGACCTAAAATATTGGATAGAAACAAAAAAAGAGAGACTAAATTACTGTTATTTAGATAACATTTTAGTGATAATATAAAGGATTATAGCGATGAAGCATGAGTACAGTGACAATAATTCAATTAGGATCACTGTTTTCAAACACCGACTTCAATAGGTTGGGATATGTAGTATGAACGTCATCTTAGCGACTTCCACATTTTGCTTTATTTGCCGATGCTGACACTGGTTGGGAAAATCAGAAATGGTCGCCAGTTTATGACATGGTGCCGAGGTATAAAAAAGCTGCATAAGACTGTCATCTGTCAGCCAATCGAAACTCAAAGATTGGAGTCCAAGGGATAGTGTAATTTCGTGGCTTGAGACGTTATCAGACATAGCTCAGAATGGAAGCCAGTGACAGTTTAGTTAATTATCAAATAATCTACATTACAGACTGATTTTAGCTAGTAAATAACTTCAAGAAGAATTTTTTGCAAAAAGTTCAACGAAGTCGAGAGAGTGAAATAGTTATCATCAATGATGATTAGTGGATGACTGCCGTGAAATGTCAAGACTTGTACCCGACCGCAGCTACTACTTTGACGTAGTGGTTGGGCTTGCACATCACAATGACTTAGTCGATTAATATTGGTTGGAATACTCGTTCTTCTAGGTTTAATAGTACTAAACAGATCAGTTAGAGAGTTAATGTTCAGAATAAAAGCAGAATGCAACGAGCAAAATTGTACTGATCACTTAAAGTAGCGTGCTTACTGTGACACAAATTCTAGGTTTGATCTGTCTGTGACAAAGTTATAGTTGAGCACTGTACTGAAGAGTTTTATACTAAGACTAAATTATCAGATAAAGACAAATAATAATCAACAGTTTTGAACGTGCATATAGAATTCACAGAATAGCCCCCAAATGCCCTGTTACGGCCGAGAATGAGTAGAGTCAGATCTCCCTCTCGAAATGCTCTCACATGGGCACGCATATACAGGCACTACCACGGAAGTCCTACTCACTGCCTTCTCACACCACGGGTGTTGTTTTCGAAATTGGAAGGAAGAAAAAGCGGATGTCCGGCGCCTTAACTGGGTTGGTGGACACAGCAAGTCCACCTAGGGCAGTTGGGAAACCCTGATTTCAAACCAATGGTGCATATGGGCTCCAGTATCCTGAAGGAAAAAATGGCGTCTAAACCTGCTGTTGGTCACCGGCTACCATCGGACTGCATCTCCTGACGTCGCTCCACTGCCTATTGGATCAGAACTTTAGCTCGAAAGCTCCGAGTGTGGCGCCCCAAGGAAACCACGTGCATCGGTTTGGGCACCCAGGCAGTATCCCAACCCTCACATACATCGAATGATTTATGTGGCGCATATCTACTTGGTGCCTCCTTGTACCAATGTTTATGTTTTTAAATAGATAAATAGTGACTAATGTCATGTATATTAAATCCTTTTTAATGCTCATAGAATTTCATCAATCAAGTTGAAATGTGACAACTAATCTAAATGATTCAATATCGCGTGCAATTCAATTGAGATGTAAGGTGGCGGTTGAAAGTAGTTGTTGAAAGGAAATTTTTTTTCAACTGGTTTTCGTGCGTGATCAAATTAAAATTCAATACAATTAAGTCATAGTAACCAACATTATGAAAATGATCAAACGCTCACCTTGTGTCGATGATTCATTTTGTTTCTTTTTAGTGCCACTTTCATTTAAATGTTGGCTTTCTAAAACTTGACCATATGATAATGATTTAATCGGAGTTGATTTGAGTTTATTTTCAGTGGATGAAACAATAGAGTTTGCTTGATTTATGATCATAGACTTTGGAGTGGATGCATTTTTTGGTATAGATCCAGGTTTCATTATAGATGCTGGTGTTGATTTGGAAGTGGAATTAGGTGAAAGTTGTGAAGCTAATATAGGTTTTGATGTTAAGTTAGGTTTTGATGCACTAGCAGTTACTGCGGGTGTTTGCGATTTCCTTGGAGGTCGAGGCGCTGGTTTCTGTGATAAAGATTCTATCAATTTAGACAATTGTGCTCCAAAATTTTCCATTTTATCATCAAGACGTTTAAAAGTATCCTGTAGATAAGGTTCAATGCCTATATTGTTGAAATAATTAAAAAGAGTTTGATATTATCAACGTTTGAGATCGATTAATTTAATGCTTCTTATATAGACATGACATTGAATCAAAACCAGTCATAGTGATACAGAAGCATCAATAGTCATTCTATAGTTTTTATTCAGTTTTCATTCTTTTCAAACTATATATTCACCTTGTTAATTTTACGTAAATCTACGGACACAATGCGTCAACCTGGCTGGTGATGTACATTTTTATTAGGGTTCTACATTGATTGGTAATGTGTACAAAGTTTCTACTAAAGAGATAACCCCTCACTATCTATTCTATAGGACTTCGACAGAACACGTGGCTAGACTGACTAGAACGTAAGTATATTTCCACACCAATAACTGACAACAATTATAGTAATAATAAGAGCAGGAAAATATATAATTCATTTAGTACTTGTCAGACTACTACTACTATGATTAAGCACACAACCAATCATTATTTTCCTTGCTCACACATCAGAAACCAAGGTATGTAAGGCAGTGTTTGAGCTTGTGGCTTGTTGGTTGATATTTCAGTGCTTTAACCACTGATACATCACTGAATTCTTTACATATATTCGACAGTTTATTCTACTCAGTACCTTATCTACGTTGTAAGTTCTAGTCTAAGATTTCACAAAAAATAACTACTCCCCAAAATATGTACATTTAACACAACTATTGCGAAACGGCATATGTTGTATAACTTTTTCGTCTTCAGTATTCTCAATACAATCTTAATGATAGATGTCTTAGGATCTTCCAACTGATGGAAATAAACTCATTATTGAGCTAGTTGTTCAGGAGACGATACTGAAAATGACAATGATCAAGAAGATTTTTATTAACTTCAATCACTATCTCATCCCCCGAATGCCTTGGTACGGCCGAGAGTGGGGTGAGTCCGCTCTCCCTCTCGAAATACTCTCACACGGCCGCGCGTATACAGCCTCTGCCAGGGAAGTCCTACTCATTGCCTTCTCGTGGCGGGGGTGTTGTTTACGAAAATGAGAGGACGAAAAGCGAATGTCCGGCGCTTTAACCGGATCACAAACCAATGGTGCACATGGGCTCCAGTATCCTGAGGGAACAAATGGCGTATGAACCAATCTTTGGTCACCGGCTACCATGGGATTGCATCTCCTTACGATGCTCCACTGCCTTGTGGGTTAGACCTTTAGGTCAAAGGCTCGGGGAGTGGCCCCCTAAGAAAACCACCTGCTTCGGTTTGGGCACCCGGGCAGTATCACAGCCCACACACAAACGATGAACTCTATGTCTTTGGCAACTACTTTTATCGCTCCGAAAAACAAAAACAATCAGTCGATTCAAATAATTATCATTACTATTATTGTCATTATTAATACTATTATTATTACTATTATTGTCGTTATTATTATTATTATTATTATTTCCCACATTATTCACCCTCTTTTATACTTATACAGCGGCTCGTCTTTGGTGGAAATCCGACTGTATCTAAACGTCCTCGAGTCACTGTCCGGTTGAAAGTTGTATGTTACCATCGAATATGAGTACTGAAGCAGTTTTTCTGAAACCACGTGCGCCATTCAAACTGGCTGCCTTCAACGTTCGCACACTTATGCAGGTTGGTCAACAGATAGGGCTGGCTATGTCTTTGGAAAGTCTTAATATTGATGTTTGTTGTCTATCCGAGACCCGTATTCAAGACTCTAGCGAAGTACTACAAATTCGCTCTACATCTGTCACTTCAAAAAGCTTGTTTTACGTGCGCTTATCCGGGGACCCTGTGGCATCTTCGTCTGGTCTTGCTGGCGTTGGTGTCGCACTAAGCGCTAGAGCTGAGGCAGCACTAGTCGATTGGATCCCCATTAACAGTCGGTTATGTGCTGTTAGATTAGAAAGTTCCATCAAAGTGAGAAGAAATCGGCGTGAGAAACGATGTCTTTTCGTCATCTCCGCCTATGCCCCGACAGATTGCAGCCCGGATGCAATCAAGGATGAGTTTTACCACCAGTTATCTGTTCTTCTCCAGAAAGTGCGTTCGACAGATATTGTAGTACTAGCCGGAGACTTGAATGCTCAGGTCGGGCGTCTAGGCACAGAAGAGAGTCGTTTAGGTGGCCGATGGGGACTCGTTGGTCGCAGGTCAGATAACGGGGACCGTCTACTGCAACTGTGCACAGACCACAACCTGTTTCTGGCTAGCACTAACTTTCGGCACAGTCATCGCCGATGTGCCACCTGGCGTCCTCCCTCTGCATCTCAAGCCTGGACTCAGATTGATCACATCGCGATCAGCTACCGCTGGCGTGGTTGTGTAAAAGACTGCCGCTCCTTTTGGAGTACCTATCTGGACTCTGACCATGCCTTGGTCTGCGCCAATCTTGCCTTACTTTTCAGTGGCCAACGAAGTGACCACCACCAAAAGATTGATGTTAGCAAGCTGGTTGCAACTTCTGTTGCAAATAAGTATCGAACCGAGCTAGCCTCTAGGCTAGCTACCACTCCACCGAAAAGTATAGATGAGCATTGGTTGCAATTGCATGACGCCATGAAAATGGCGGGAACAGTCAGTTGTGGGTTTGCGAAACGTCCCGCTTTTAAGCACTGGGTTTCTTCTGGTTCCTTACAACTCATTGAAGCCCGTCGGTCTACTCCGGGTGACCGTGAGTTTGACCATAAACGAAAGATGTTATGTAAGGAAATCGGGCAATGCTTGCGTAAGGACCGAGAAGCCTGGTGGTCGAAGCGTGCTAATGAGCTGGAAGCAGCAGCTGCATCTGGTAATTACCGAAAGCTCTTCCAGCTCATCCGAGCCACTGGCAGCAAGAAGTCTGGTGTGAGTGAAACAATCTGCGAGGATGATGGGATGCCAATCACTAACATCCATCGACGTCTTGGACGGTGGGCAGAATATTTCGAAGGGCAGTTCAACTGGCCTGCTGCTCCGGCAACATCGGTCAGACTGTCCTGCCCTTTTTTTTTTTTTTTTTTTTTTTTTTTTTTTTTTTTTTTTTTTTTTTTTTTTTTTTTTTTTTTTTTTTTTTTTTTTTTTTTTTTTTTTTTTTTTTTTTTTTGGCTCTTTTTAAAGATGGTGGTGACTTTTTGACTAAGGAATTGACGACGTTGTTTACAAAGGTTTGGGAACTAGAGAGTGTGCCAACGTCATGGAATGAGTCGATAGTTGTCCCTATCTTTAAAAAGGGTTCACGTCGTTCCTGTAACAACTATCGGGGGATAAGTCTACTTCCGATTGCGTCCAAGCTATTGGCTTCCGTCATACTTCGTAGGTTGTTCAAAACCCGAGAAAGATTGACTCGCGAGGAGCAGGCTGGGTTTCGTTCTGGTCGAGGATGTATTGATCATATCTTCACCCTCCGCCAAATGTTAGAACACCGCCATACTTATCAAAGGCCAACAATCGTAGTGTTTCTTGACATCAGGGCTGCCTTCGATTCGTTGGACAGGACTGTTCTCTGGGATTGTCTATTGAAGAAGGGTGTGTCTGAGAAGTTTATTAACATCCTAAAAGCCCTATATACAAACACCTCAGGCAGAGTGAGGGCATACAACCACCTCTCTCCATTGTTCCATTCGAGCAGTGGGGTTAGGCAGGGTTGCCCAATCTCACCATTCCTCTTCAACTTTGCCATCGATGACATTCTGGAAACAGCTCTGATGGATGTAAGTAATGGTGGTGTGGATCTGTTGCCTGGAGAAAGACTTCTCGACCTTGAGTATGCGGACGATATTGTCTTACTGTGCGATAATGCCCAAGGCATGCAATCCGCACTTAATCAGTTGGCAATCAGTGTCCGTAGGTATGGTATGTGCTTTGCACCTTCGAAGTGCAAAGTACTTCTACAAGACTGGCAGGATTCTAATCCTGTACTCACCCTGGATGGTGAGCAGATAGACGTAGTCGAGAAGTTCGTGTATCTGGGTAGCTGCATAAGTGCTGGTGGGGGTGTGAGTGATGAGATCAATGCAAATATAGTGAAAGCCAGAGCGGCTTATGCCAATCTGGGCCATCTTTGGCGCCTTCGTGATGTTAGTCTGGCTGTAAAAGGTCGGATCTACAACGCGTCGGTGAGAGCAGTTTTGCTCTATGCTTGTGAAACCTGGCCTCTCCGAGTTGAGGACGTTAGACGACTCTCTGTGTTCGATCATCGCTGTCTCCGAAGGATTGCTGACATTCAGTGGCAACACCATGTCAGTAATGCAGAGGTTCGGCATCGTGTGTTCGGGCACAGAGATGATAATTCAATTGGTGTCACCATCTTGGAACACCGACTTCGGTGGCTTGGACATGTTCTCCGAATGTCCCCCCAGAGAATTCCACGTCGTGCATTATTTGCCGACTCTGGGACTGGTTGGAAGAAGCGGAGAGGTGGTCAGTGCATGACATGGTGTCGTGGCATGAAAGAAAGCTGCAAAGGACTGGCTTGTGTTGGTCCTTCACGACTCCCTGGTTGGGGTCCGAGAGATGGTGCTACACAGTGGCTAGAGACGTTATCAGATATGGCTCAGAATAGAAGCCAGTGGCGATCCTGCTGTAACCTTCTTTTACTTTCTTCATAAAAAGTGGTTCTGTCTCCCTTACCTGAAAGATTTCTTCCGATTGTACCTTTGCGTTCCCTGATTACTAGCACATTACCTTACATTAATCTCTTCGTTATTGTTCTCTCTTTTTTTGTTGCGCTCCTTAGCTTTTTTTTTCTTTCTTTGTATTCCTCTCGAATTTTCATTGTTTTGTGTGGCGCATATATATTGGCGCTCTCCTGTACCAATATTCATGTGTCCAAATAAATAAATAAATAATCTCATCCCTCCCCATATATAACAAACTAGAGAAACTAGAAACGACACCGACAAACTAACTACCTAAATGACTGTAGGTAGTCACCAATAAACCCGAATAGCTCAAGTGGAAACACATCAGACTGAGGCCAAATTGTGTGTGCTACTTATATACACATAAGTAGTATATAACGATAGTTACGAATACAATTATTTCAGTAGAAGATCGAGAAGGAAAGAACGTGAACGGAAAGCAATTGATAGGAAAATGCAGGAACAATGAAATCTGAGACGATGGACTGGTATTTGCAAAAGAAATAGCCAAGCTTAAGGCAATTAATTAATATTTTGCAAATTAGGTATTTACTGTATGATTCTCAGATTTTACTGAGAGATTCAGATACATTCGATTGTCCGCACTCGTGTTCTTGTTAACTACAGAGTGACCTAGGTTTGAATATCACATGAAACATTAGTTTCATAAACCTTCCCAGTACGCTTTGCTGACGAGTGTCACAAAGTACGAAACCAACTAACTCGTCAGGAGTTAAGTGAGTTACTAAGACTAATAGCTATATTGAGACTTTATCGATAGAATTCAATCAGTACTAAAAAGAATTAGATAAACATCATTTTGATCATCACTAAATGTGAACTAATTACCTCTTTAAAAGTGAAACGGTAACTTACTGTTATTTGCGGTATCCTGATTCTGTTTTGTTATAGGTCTATAAATTTAAACATTAAAAATAATCAACTAACGTAAGTAGATGTAAATCAATGGTAAATAAATGAAATTAAAACGAGTGTACAGTGGAAACTTTTTTTCTGTAGGAAAAAAAAAGACTTTTATCTAATAGATACAAGGTTACTTAAATGACAATGGACAATGTTAAAACGAAACTAATCACAAGTGTGTGATTATCTAGGATTCAGTAACTCAGTCAATAACCAGTTTGGCGTTAATAGAGAAAGGTGTTGGGTTCGAGATTGGGTATGAACATCAATACTAGAATATATGTACATTCGAATGACGAGTTACAAACAGAATGGGAAACATATCCTAGATTCTCACTGCTAACCACAATCTATATTCTTCATAGAGAGTGGTCAATTCTAACAAAAATTACTAAGAAATGCTGTGATCAAGTATAATGTTTAAAAATACAGGGATGAGAAATTTAACTGCACATTAGATAGAAGACATTTACAAGCAGATTCAGTTTATTTATTTATTTAAACACATAAACATTGGTACAAGGAAGCACCAAATAGATATGCGCTACATAAATCATTTGATGTATGTGGTGGTTGGGATACTGCCTGGGTGCCCAAACCGATGCACGTGGTTTCCTTGGGGGGCCACACTAGGAGCTTTCGAGCTAAAGTTCTGATCCAATAGGCAGTGGAGCGACGTCAGGAGATGCAGTCCGATGGTAGCTGGTGACCAACAGCAGGTTTAGACGCCATTTTTTCCTTCAGGATACTGGAGCCCATGTGACCATTGGTTTGCAATCAGGGTTTCCCAACTGCCCTAGGTGGACTTGCTGTGTCCACCAACCCAGTTAAAGCGTCAGACATTTTGTTTTCGTCCTCTCAATATTGTAAACAACACCCGTGGTGTGAATATGACTTCCCTTGCCGTGGTTGTATGCACGTAGCCATGTGAGAGTATTTATCGGATTATTAAAGCTTAGCAATGAAATGGTATTCGATTCCCTGGTAAAAACTTCAGAGCGTAAACAACATAATCTCAGGTTATGCTGTTGAATTAGTATGTTAGATTAAATTTGATCCTCCTGTTTGACAAAGTGTAGTGAACAAGAGAAAGGGGTTCGTGTATAAAACCATCTGTTTTGGTTGATGTATGAGCAGTAACAAAGTTAAAACACTTTTTAAGGACCGTTTATAACTAGTAGTAAAATTATGTACTTAATTTAGAGGTTCGACACTTTGAAACTAGTTAATCTAGGAATGTTATCTTTGAATATCGACTTCAGTGGTTTGATTACGTTAAGTGATTTTCATATAATGGATAATTTGCCAACAATAGGGGTGATAGCTGTGGGTGATCAGTTTATGATAGGATGCTATAGAACCAAAGATAAATGTAGAAAATTATAAAGATCAGTCCTAGACAGTGATGTCCTAATTATTACAACCAGGTGTAAAGAAGTAATATTCTTAGTATAATAGAGGTTGCTAAGACCATAAAATAACTCACTCAATAGTCCTACGAACGGTGAAACGAACAAATGGAAGTTTGTATACTTCATTACTCCCTGACGAGTTTGGAAGTCGTGCGAATAATATTCTAGAATTTTCCTCTTGAGCGGTCCCAATAAGTACGTATTCTGATTCTTCTTCAGTATCATTATCTGATAATTTAGGCAACGCCTTTTGAACACAAGTCTCTCCTTTTTCTAGCCTTTTTAAGATTCGCTTGAAAAACTTGGAGAAAGATTTATTTTCCAAGTTCAAGAGAGGTATAGCATCATGACAATCTGGAGGAATATCTACACAGGCAAGTAGTGCTTCCATTGATTGAATCCGTTAAGACTAAATATGAAACCAATAGGATGTTATTATCATGTAGAATCTTGTTTGAGTGAAATTTTAATGTGAAACAAATGAAAAGCTGGGAAATTACAAAGATAATGTAATATATACGAAGTTATTGAGTTAGGAAAGTAATAAGAACTACAAATAAGTTATTTACTCACTTAATATGAACTTACATACACTAGTATTATATATGAAACTATTAATGGAGCTATCGGTAATAGATCTGATTGGTATTTGAATAACTTATATTGTAAAATAACACATTAAAGTCTAATGATCACTGATCATAAGATTATGTCAATAAATTTGTTACATATGCACAATCCCAACGTAAGTGTTAATTTAGATCAGACAACTTATTGACTATTAGCAATATCTCACAATCAATTTTATGAAATGTGATAAAAGGTACAGAGTAAAGTAAATAAGACAAGGTACAAATGTTATGGTGGTGAAAACACCAACAACATTTGGCAACTGCTAAAAGCCATTTCAGCTTATCTAAGCTATTGGCAGCAAAACGTTTGGTGTGAATGTGACAATCAGTAAAGCTAACTAAATGAAAATTAGTGACATCCGGAGATGTTTTGAGAGGTAGAGAGAGTACTGCTACTGCTAGTCCTGCTCTCATAAGTCTGAAGTCCATAGGAATCTCCGACTTTTGAAGCATCAAAAATCATCACAACCAGATGAATTACTCCTACTCGGTTTTATAAAGATGAAGAACTTTTGGTCAGAGAGCAGACTGGGTTATTTGGAAAGGTTTGATAAATAGTGTTCCAACATCGAACGAAGCAATCGTTCTTTCCCTCTCTAAGAGCAGCCTACGTTATCTACGCACCAGCTGTCGCGGAATGTCTACTGTCGATTGCATCAAGACTACTGTAGTTCACCAAAATCCACAGATCTAAAACTCAGGAAACGGCTAGCGAGGAACAGGCTAGTTTTAGCTCATGTAGTTAGCGTTTTGACCATAACCTCACCCTTCTCTAAATATTAAAACATCGCCACATTTATTGGAGAGCAACAACTGGTGTTCTTTGATAACAGGGTCTACTTTGATTTGTTGGTAGACTGGTCGTTAACATCTTGAAGGCCTAACATACAGGTACTTCAAGCAGTGTGAGGGTATGCAACCAACTCAATCCATTATTCCAGTTCAGTAGCGAGGTTATGCAAGGTTGTCCAATATCACTTCTTTTCTACTGTGTCACTGATGGCACTCTGGAAATAGCCCTCAAGTACATGGTAGTGATCAGTCACAGCGTAGAACCTGGTACGTATGTACATAGGTTCAAGCTGCCATACCCCAATAGCACAGAGATGTTGTCCGGCAAAATCCCAGAAGTAGGGGTAGCAACAGTATCAGTGACGGCCTAAGATTAGATATGGAAGATATGATACAAGAAAATATAAATTCGTGAAATGAAAAAGGCTATAGGGAATTTCGAGCCATGTCACTTAGTCTCTAACCATTAATTACGCCGACTCAAACCAGGTTAAGTACAACTGTCAGTGACGAACTGATGCTATATTTCGGCTTAACTGCCTCTAGCTTTCTTCCAACCTACTCCTACACCAGAAATCATAGCCCTTCATGGCAGGCAGTAGATGATGGGCATACATAATACATGCTACAACCATCTCAGTTGATGAAAATTCACTACCTCGTCAAGTGATTTACCATCCTATTCCTAATCCTGGCATTGTTTACATGGTGGTCTCAAAGCACCCGAGGAATGCTTCGTAGACACCTATGATAGAATACCAGTAACCTACGAATATATATATTATTATTAATAGTGAGACTCGGTAATGAGTTCGGGTATAGTGATAATTTGACTGGTATCGCTGTCTTGAAACACCAACTTTAGTGGCTTAGAAGTGCGTCACGAGTGCTATCACAACCCCCGCACTATATATTTTATGTAGACACGGATGGGTTGGAATAAACAGAGGTGGTTTGTTTATAAACTGACGCCGTGGCATGAAAGTGGTTGGGACCGCTATTTGCCGGTCAATTACGACTGTGGTTGAGGCCCCACAGATAGTGGGACTTGAAACGACGCTACAAACAGCTCAAAATAGAGGTTGATGGAGACCACGCTATAGTTGCCTTTTACATTCGTCATAAGAACGATTTTAGTGAAAGAACTTTCTCAACTAGAGTGTTAACTGAATGATACCCTCTACCACATTTTGTCCTTGTTCACGTATATTTTCGTTTAAATAGTGTTGCTTTTCCTTTTTTACTGTATTACCTCTGCATATGTATGGACCGTTCATTTGGTGTCCCTATGTACCAAATCTATGCCCATAATTAAATATATTATCTATAGCCAATTGGTATATAAAAATGTGTGGTTATTTAATATTTTGCTTCGGTTCGGACAGCCAGGGAGTTTCCTGTTTCACCCGTCCAATTAGTGTGACGCATATATATATTTGGTGCTCCTCTATGCTGTTTATGCGCTTAAGTGAATAAATAGATAATTCAGGATGTCAATAACAGATATTCTCATTAATTTACTGACAAAGCAGGGAAATAACACTGCAACCAGTTGCAAGAACTCGTGAGAGAAGACAAATCCTTAGGGCGGGATCATAGTAGCATACCAACTCACTAACCAGGTAATTGATTTCGATACCATACGGTCCAAATTTGGGAAGATCAATGGTCCTGCAGTAATAGGATGTGGTAGTGGGAATTATGTACAAGTCCAGGGAAAAACGAAGTCTTCAGCATCCAAATATACTGATCTGAATATCTTGAAAGAATAGATAGTGACTACTTGGTAATTAATACGGATATGAATTACATTAGTCTTCAGGAATTTTAAAAAAGCATATTTTAGCTGTATGTCAAGATTTAGCATGTAGCAGTTATCTCAAATACGGAGCTGACATTGTGGAACAGGTTTGAGCTATTACAAAAAGAACCCTTGCGCGACAGATAAAACTGTTACCTAACTATTCTATGAAAATGTCTAGTTACAGCGTCTGATAAAGTAAGTTAATTAATTTACTTTGCGAACATGACACTTACAAGTCTATATAGACTTTGGGGTTTTGGTGCGATTTCCCCTAAATTTCCCGAAAATTGGGAGCTCGGGGTCATGTTCGCTTTTATTTTGTCAAAAAAGCATGTGCTAACGTATGCACATGCGACCAAAAATAATTTTAGAAATCTTTTCATTATGTTAGTCTACAGCTAAATCGATTTTCATTGGAATTAAGTTTAAAAAAAAACAGTGAAAAGAAGCCCACCCCAAGTCACGCTGACACCAGTGACCTTGATATTAAAAGTGGGTTCATGAGGACATAGACGGATTCAAAAAAGCATTTCACTTGATGAACTCCAAGTAATTCTGCTCCAATTTAGAAAGAGCAAGAAGCTGAGTTTCCTGTTTTACTTCTGACGTTGGTGGTCTCCCAGGTGATCCGGATTTCTTAAGAAATCCTAAATTTAGGATGAGGAGATAGATGGAGTTTCGGTTGAATATTCAAATGGTTCTGGACGGAAAAGAAGAGGCTCTCCTTGGGAAAGTTGATAATAAGCTGGCAAGTAATTTGTTCTGGCCTTGTGAACATTTTCAGGATATCCTCTTGAATCCTCTGTTTTTAGAGAGGTTATGTACGATGAAAATTTATCATTAAGTAATTTAAAAGCTGTGTCTAAGTCGCCTCTAGTGTTTATACGACAAGAAAAATAAGTTTGGTTTGACCAGTTTGTCTTTATAAGGGAGATTTGCTTTTCCGAAACTCAAGTCATCTCTGGTTCTTCGGAACTCTTCAAACAACTCAGTCTTTCTTAGGCTAAGGCTAGCCTTATGTATATGCAGCGGTAAATAAATCCCCAAAATAAATAGCTCTGTAAGTTTCCGACATTGGATACTAACCACATTAGTTTTAATGGACTCACCTAGCTGAAGGCACTCGGCCATACATCCGCACCAGATCACGAGTAGGAACGCCGTGCTCAACAACCCTTGCAATCGCTAGTCAGGTTAGATCAGACGATCCTCGATATATTGATAGACTATCAAATATATCTTTGAACCTCCGCGCTTCTGTCGTTTGATTTCACTTGGTGGTTACGATTCATACTAGGTGTTACTGTTTAAAGCATTTTCAAACTCCGAATACCTGTGACATCTTCATTGGTGAGCCCGACGTGATCTGGTACAACAAATCGTAAACTGTGGGATTCTATATATCATATACATTGCCTTACCTTAATTTTTTATACATTGTGATATCTTTTCCGTGTTTTTGGATATATATATTTTTTTCTCACCCCTTCATTCTCGTACTCGATATTGCACCATGACTGAACAGATACCCATGGTACTTAAGTTAAAGACTATGTCCCCAAAATCGTTCCAACTCATGCCCTTCTGGGCAGAGAGCATCGAGGCCTGGATCTGCTACGCGGAAGCCGACTTCCACGAGCACGGCGTGAACAACACGCGTGCTCAATTCCTCGCAGTAGTCAAAACACCACCGCGCGAATTCAATAGGTACGTAACGCCTAGCGAGTTTACTAGTGATGTTTTAGAACCCTACAAAACACTTACTCGATCTATCCTTAAACACGGAGGCATAACTGATAGACAAAGTTAGACCAACTCCTCAATAAAACCGACCTGCAACACGGTTCTGCGGCAGACATGTTGCAGAGAATAAGAGAGGTTATCGGCCAAAGAACCTTCGATGATGGCCTATTCAAACAAATTTTCTTACCCAAACTTCCTCAGCAGGTGCGAGCTGTGATGGTCTCGTTTCAAGACAACGCCTTAAATGAGCCGGATGCATATGCCGAACGCATCTCAGAAACCACGAAATCTTCTAATGCCGAGGCTTTTTCGGTCAAAGAAAAGCCTCAAACGACCCAGAATGACATCGCAGAGTTATGTCGTACACTTACACGTTATCTTAAATTTCGTAGCGACCGTAAACGGTCACACACCCCGCGA